AATGGAAGAAAATAAAAGCACCACAACCATTTCTATATTCCGTAGAAATCTGTCAAAAACGGTCGATTGTACCGACTTTATCATGAGCATGTGTATATGAATCACTATCAAATAGTAATGATGGTAGGTGTTCGAGAAAGGGGGCAGAAGCAATTCCGGGTGTTGAGATCCATTTCCATTGTGTGCAAATTATGTTTGTTTTCATGCAGAGCCACAACTAACGTATGTTCAGTCGAGGTTTGGAATCGTTTGCGAAACCATATGAGTTGCAATATGATGAGGTTTTGCTTGACAGACTTCTGAACCACGAATGTCATGTCTATTCCATTTGACAAATAAGTCCTCTCGAGTCAAGAAAATAGACAGAATGTGATTAAAACATTCTCAGTAAAACGTTCTCAGTGAAGAGCACTGAACTTTCAGGCAAACATTAACCTTGTGACGATCTATGAGTTAGCACGAACTTATTTTCGGGCGCACATACAAAGTACACATGAACATACATCAATACAACCAGGCATACTGGCCTCCTCACCACGTCACACAGACGTAGATACACACAACACAATGTTTATCCGAACAATAGGAGCAATATCTCCAAAACAGCAGCTCACATCAAAGCAAATACCAGCTCTGAACGTAACAACCGCATACACAGGAAATGGGCGTTTTTAGAAATAGAAACCAACGAACAAATTAACACAACACATCATTAAATACCACAAACCAACGCCAGCGCCAGCTCAAAGTCACCCAATACACATTGCTCACAATGGCAACAATTGCCTGCTCCTCGGCTACCTGTTTCTCACACACAGGGGTCGGGACATACTGTACCCTTACAGAGCGCCCAACAACACACTCCTACACTGCCTTACCATCATCTACATCGAATAATGTGTGTACGGGTGTGAACTAAATACATTTACAAACCACACACTAAAAATGACCTAACAAACATCACTCACTTTTTTTCTGTACAAGTTAGTACTCACCAATAACTGGATAAACCACCAATCCAACGACAGAATTTTAATCTGTACTCCAGCCTTCATGCTGCCAACCTCTTGGCCTGATAATGGTTGAAAAGGCCGGGCCGTCCGAGACGCTCGCTGATAAACGGGTAGGATGCACGTGCGCGCTCGTGCACTTAGCACATCACCACCATCTGGTTTGTCTGCCACGGCCTGCCTACTACTAGGTTCGAAAATACAGTGCTGAAATATTTATATCAGTTTGTGATCGTGACACCATAAAACACTATTTCAATGCAAAAGGTTTATTTTAGTGAGCGTAGAAAAAGCAAATAATTAATAAGATGGGATTCATTCACGATTCACCTGGACAAAACAAGATAGAATAACGTTCCTCTGAACCTTCAACTATTCACTGTCAAAAGTATACAAGGTTTAACTGTGTTGATTGATTTCTGAATTGTAAAAGTGTCATGTTTTATCTCAGAAAAGAAAACATTACAAAAATATCATACCATTACAATTTGTATTTTTGTCATTGAATTCTGTCGGATGCATATGATAGTGAGTATGTCAATTTACTCCGGTGATGAAATAATTCTCCTCGTGATTCTGACAATGTAACATAGGGTAATGTGGCAATGCGGCAATTCGCATAAGCGAACTATACAGGTGTGAATATGTGTAGCTCTTCTGGAACTTAGAACGGCCGGAAGAATTGCTACAGACGTGATCAGAGCAGCTACATATCCAGTGCGTTAGAAAGCGGATAGCCCTTACGGTTCTGACAATGTAATATGCGGCACATCAAACAGTCGAGTTATACAGGTATGCATCTGTGCAATTATTCAGGAAGGAACTCAGAACCGCCGCGATCTTCCTTACTTAAAAAAAATAGTATAAATCTATTTACGAAGTAATCTGTTAGCTAAATGTCTAATGAATATATATGCAGAAAAACAAGTAATTTTTCAAGATATATTTCGCCCTATTGCTCTGATTGGTTTCGAAACATGCATGTATCTGATGCTTGAGTTGCTTCACATTTTTGGTTCTTTGACTTTGGTCATTGGTCACGTGGTTTGGCAGCAATAGTGGATTCAAGGTTTTTACAGTGTCTTTTTACCTGTCTTCAAATGCAAACTCCTCTGCATCTGCTTCATGAAATGCTATCAAACTTTCTGCGAATTATCTCCATACACAACACAATAAACTCGAGTTGCCATTTTGGGATATTTTTTTTAGTTGCGGCCATATTGGATTCAGAGTCTTCAAATGCATACTCCTCTGAATCCATTGCATGAAATTCTTCCAAACTTTCTGAGAATTGTCACCACACACAAGACAACAAACTCTAATAGCTGTTTTTTATATGATTTTTAGTTGCGGCCATATTGGATTTTGATTTTGATAATTCTCTTCACCGAAACTTTACTTTAAAATATCTTGTAATGTATAGTAAGGTTGTTGACAGAAACTATTGCAAGTTTACATGTAGTTAGTGTGCCATATGCATATCATTTTCTCTTCTTGGTTGCATGCTAAAAGTAACACCGCTTGGTGGTAATATTTGATTAATATTTTGGACACCCCTGGAACACGCCAATTTCGTAGTGGCGATGACCTGCAAACAGTCATTATCTTTTGACGGAGTTGGTACAAGCAAACTCTTTGAGGATTCGAAAATGTTCGAACAGAATTGATACCCCGGTACATGCTAATTTCGTAGTGGCGATACCTGGTAAGAGGTGCCTACATTTGACGGATTGGCTACAAGCAAACCCTTTAAAGACTCGAACATGGACGTTTGTGCGCGTGTATTACTTGGAGCCCACTTTTACTGCTTGCAGGTATTATTATTAGTAGTATTATTATTATTATTATAATTATTATTATTATAGAATGTGAGACTCTCCAACACTGCAGCCTTCTGCATTACCCAGATTATCAGAAGGGCTGTATTCTTGGTAGCAAACCTGGGTACTCTTCCAATGTCAGTCAACAGATTGGGAGGTACCAAACCTAAGGCAACGAGGACAATGGGGAGTCGGACAACTTGGTACTTTGGATGCAAGCGTGACATTTCGAAAGCGAGGTCTGCATATTTGCCATGTTTTTCCTCAATCTTGTCAATCACATTACTATCAAAAGGGACAGAAAATTCAATGATATAAATGATTTCATGGGATTTATCAAAAAGGACAAGATCAGGTTTGTTGGCCTGGATATGCCTGAGGCTGTAAACGGGCCTATTCCAAAGGATTTTGTATCTCATCATTTTCCATGACGCCTTCTACTTATTCCGGGTCGAACCATGGATGGACCTCTGTGTCAAAACAACAAGCATGGAGAAGACGGTAATAAAATGATCGAGCCACCCCATCATGTCGCTTAAGATACTGTCTTATTTATCATTATTATAATGATTATTATTATTATTTGCATAAAGTCAAACTGATAACTCCTCAGTAAATATACTCTCCCAAAAAGGAAAAGCACAGGTGAAATATAAATGTTGATTTTAGTTCGTGTAAATTGAAACGATGAAATAATTATTTTCAAACGCAAAACACACTGAATGTAAGTTCATAATCATACCCAATCACTAAAACACACCACCTGATGAAACATTAACCCTCAACATTGGTCCGAATGGAAAACGATCACAATGCGTGATGCACGTGAAAACTGGGGAAGCTTTGCTCCAGGATGAGAGGGATGCAGGATACATAGCATAGCATTCGCCTTTTCGTGTGTTTTTTCCGAGACATTCGATATCACAAGATTGCGTGCAGAAGACCGAAATATCGCCATTGAACGTCTAGAGGCCGGAGGATCACGTTCATCAGTTGCACGTCATTTTAATGTTCACCCCAGCAGCGTTACACGCGTTTAGAGGCGTTACCGTCAACTTGAATCCTCGAACTGGTAGGCCAAAGATCACAACAGAGGCACAGGATCGTTACATCCGGGTGTTCAAGTTTCGCAACAGGTCGGTCCCAGCAACTGACATCGCAGGAAATGTCCAAGGTCTACAGAGAGCCTCTGCCCAGACAATATGAAATAGCCTACAAGAAAGTGGACTTCGTGCGATAAAACCTTATGTTGGATCTGTGCTTCAACGTCATCATCGCCTGTCACGTGTTCGTTGGTGCACAAACGTCAAATGATGGAATTGGAAAAACTGGCAAATAATGTGGTTCAGCGATGAATCACGTTTCACGTTGCAACGTCGTGACGGTAGTATCCGTAGGGGGCCTACAGACGCAGAACCAAGCGCACGTTCAAGGGAATCTTACTGCCGTTCGTTACAGACATGTAACCTTACAACGTCACCTTCTTCCAGTTATAATGGCACTCGTGAAGAGCAACCTCCTCGTGGTGAGTGCTGGGTAGCGCTAATAGCTCTTCCCCCGTGTGGACTCGGGGTAGAATATGTCCACAGCACCCCATTGCTGGTCGTATGAGGCGACTAAATTGGGCAACCTGTTTGCCGTGGGTTGCGCCCCTGTGTCGGCGGAGGACGGGATTCTGGTGGTTGAGGACATTGGAGCCAGGAACCGGTGTTCCTTTTGCCCAAAACACCACTTCCACCCTTACTTCGCCTAGACGGGTGGTAGAATGGGCCCGGTTCTATCAATCGGCTGGTCATGCCATGCCCTGTGTAGGAAACATGTTCATATTAAGATATTTCAATTTATGTGAATGTTGGGTATGTATGTATTTATGTTATTAATGTATGATATAAACTTGCCTAGAGTCCCATGCCAGAAGGCGGTGGCTCATGGGCCAATCTGGTACAATCAACCTCTGAGTTCTGTTTGTCTCCAATTTTTTGTCATGGGCCGAACCAGCCTGGCATTATATTTGGTAGACAAATTCAGCTATTCACGTTGCTTTTACTGGAGTATACCACCTCTGTATCCCTGATGTTTGCATGTTGGAGGTCCGGTGCACTAAAACATCGCTCTTTGTGGCACTCCATGGTGGGTGGGGAGCAGGGGTGTTGAAATATTTTCTTTCATCATGTCTCACCAATACCCTGGTTCAACCCGCTCAAAACGACGACATATTGATCTTGATGAAACTGCTCAAACCGAAAACAAATCTCCTGTTTTAGATTCATGGGCCCGATTTGTTGTCACAGAAGCAGCTGATAAACAGCCACTCAAACTCAACCCCTTTGCCATTTCCAAAGCTGTATCTGGTATTTGTGGAGAAGTCAAGAAGGTGACGCGTCTTCGTAGTGGCTCGCTCCTTGTTGAGGGTTCACGGAGACAGCAATCTCTCAATCTGCTATCTCTAACTACATTTGCAAATATTGAGGTTGCTGTGTCCGTGCACAAAACCTTGAATTCTTGCCGAGGCATTGTTCGAGACAGAGCTGGTTGCCTGTCCGACATGTCAGAGCAGGACATTACAGATGAACTAAAAACTCAAGGAGTGACAGCAGTGGAGCGTTTCACTATGAAATCGAGAGACGGTGACATCATTCTGTCCAATACGTATCTGCTTACTTTTGCACTTTCTGCAATTCCTACATCCATTAAAGCTGGTTATCTCAACATCGGAGTGGAGGTGTATGTCCCCAATCCACTCCGATGTTTCAAATGCCAAAAGTTTGGGCATGGGTCTAAATCTTGTGACCACTCAGTTATCTGTCAGCGCTGTGGTGCCGACCATGACAGCATCAACTGCACATCTGAAATAAAATGTCCAAACTGCAAAGGGCAACATCTAGCATCATCTAGATTATGTCCAGTGTGGCAAAAGCAATCCAAAATCTTAAAGCTCAAACACGAACAAAATATCTCATTTTATGAGGCAAAGAAGGTTAGTGAAAGTCAGTCTTCATCAATTCCACTTACCAGATCCTATTCTGCTGCTGCCACTATCTCTGCTCCTCCAACTCCCCCAACAGTATCTATTTCTATTCAAACAGAGTTGACATGGGTCACATCAGATAAACCGATCAGCCTATCTTCTGTGATCACTTCAAATACATCTTCGACTCAAACTGTGAGTCAATCCGAACCCTTGATTGCTAACTCTGATGCTGTTGCGCCAGCTAATACAGAGTCAGAGGCCACAGTAGAGCCTGCAACTATTGAATCAGATGTTGTTAATTTGACAAGAAAAGAAAGAAAAAAACTAAATAAAAAACAGACAAACAGGAACTCCTCTTCTTCAGAGATAGTTATCCATAACTCCTTCGATGGTCTGGACATGGATGTAACCCCATCATCACAGAGCAGTAGTAGGAGTCCTTCCTCCTCACGTGTACGTGAGCGTTCACCAATTGAGCCACCATGACTCAATCGTCCAACATAATTCAATGGAATTGTAGAGGATTTAGAAATAATTTTAATGATTTACAACTTTTAATACAAGATTTTAAACCATCAGCTATGTGTTTGCAAGAAACCTATCTTAAAAACACAGATAAATGTGATATAAGGAATTATAATATGTATAATTTCTTCTCACCTCCAGGAGTAAAAGCCACTGGAGGTTCTTCTATCTTAGTCAGAAGGGACATTATTCATAGAGCTATTCCTCTTAAAACCAGTATTCAAGCCGTTGCAGTCCGGCTAACATTTCACATCGCCTTCACTCTTTGCTATCTGTATATTCCACCATCTTCTCCTCTTCAGCAGGCCGATCTTCAGTCTTTACTTGAGCAACTCCCTCAACCTTGTGTCATCATGGGTGACCTAAATGGACTTAACCCTCTGTGGAGAAGTGTCGATACGAACGCTAAGGGTAAGTTCCTTGAAGATTTTATTACAAACAATAATTTATGTATATTTAATGATGGAGCAAACACATATTTACATCCTGCAACAGGAACTTATTCAGCATTAGATCTGTCACTCACAGATTCTAATTTACTAAACGAATTTGACTGGTCAGTCCATGATGACCTATGTGGAAGTGACCATTTCCCCACAGTATTAAAATCTGTTCTGCCTACCGATGAACCACCTTCCACAAGGTGGAATTTTTATAGAGCAAATTGGCCCTTATTTCAAACTCGTTGTTATGAAACACTAAAACCAGAAACTTTCCAAAACATTCCAGATCCTATTCAGCTGTTCTCAGGACAACTGCAACACATAGCTGTTGAAACCATTCCTAAGTCCTCTGTGAACCCGCACATTCGCAAACCATGGTTTAGCGATGATTGCAAACAGGCTAGAAAGCATAGGAAGAAGGCAGAAAAGTTTTTCCGCCGACACCCTACGGTCCATAATTTGAATATTTTAAAAATAAACAGTGCAAAGGCTAGACGAACATTTAAACAAAATAAGCGTCAGTCTTGGAGACATTATGTATCCAGAATCAACTCACGCACACCTATATCAAAGGTGTGGAATATGATTCAAAGAATTAAAGGCAAGGGTTCAAAATCAAGCATTAAACATCTCAAAGATGGTACTGATATATTAACAGATAAATCTGACATCGCAAATAAATTAGGTGAAACTTTAGCCAAGCATTCTTCATCATCCAACTATGATCCTAAATTTCAGAAATTTCAGCAACAACAGGAAAAGAAAAAGGTTAATTTTAATTCTGATAATGGTGAAGACTATAATGAAGTGTTTTCACTACATGAGCTCAATACCGCCCTTGGGCAAGCTCATGATACTGCAACTGGAGCAGATAATATTCATTATCAGCTTTTAAAACACTTGCCTGAATCATGTCTCCAAACACTTTTAACTATATTTGATGCTATTTGGACATCAGGGATTTTTCCTCCTTCATGGCGCGATGCGATTGTAGTCCCTATACCAAAACCAGGACGGGATCATACAGATCCATCAAATTACCGTCCGATATCTCTCACTAGCTGCGTTTGCAAAACTATGGAACGTATGGTGAATAATCCATTAGTTTGGTATTTGGAAACCAATCATCTCATTACAGATATACAATGTGGTTTCCGGAAAAATAGAAGTACCATTGATCATCTTGTGCGTTTAGAATCGTTCATAAAAAATTCCATTGTAAATAAACAACATGCTGTATCCATCTTTTTCGATTTAGAAAAAGCTTATGATACAACTTGGAAGCATGGCATTTTAAAAGATCTTCATGAATTTGGATTGCGAGGTCGTTTGCCTCAGTTTATATCCAGTTTTTTAACCGACAGACAATTTCAAGTCCGTGTGGGTTCAACCCTGTCTGACCATTATAATCAGGATCAGGGTGTTCCACAAGGCAGTATCTTGTCTGTCACATTATTCAGCATTAAAATTAACAGTCTCTCCAAGGTATTGAATGACACAATTGATGGGTCACTTTTTGTAGATGACTTTAACATATCTTGTCGTGGCAAAAACATGCACACAATAGAAAGGCAACTGCAGCTTTGCCTAAATAAAATCCAAAAGTGGTCACTTGAAAATGGTTTTAGATTTTCTAAAGCAAAGACAAATTGTATCCATTTTTGTAGAAATTATAGACCGCATAAAGACTCGGAACTGTTGTTAAACGGTGCCCCCATCAAGGTTGTTGAGGAGACCAAGTTCTTGGGTCTTATATTTGATCGCCACTTGCCGTTTTTACCCCTTATAAAATATCTTAAAACTAAATGCTTGAAGGCACTTGATCTGCTAAAAGTTGTTGCAAATACACAGTGGGGTGGGGATCAGACAACCTTACTTCACCTGTATAGATCCCTTATTAGATCTAAACTAGATTATGGTTCAATTGTTTATGGTGGAGCTGCTAAAAGTAATTTAGAGAAATTAGATAGCATACATCATCAGGGACTGCGGCTCTGTCTTGGAGCATTTAGAACCTCTCCTGTAGATAGTTTGTATGTGGAGGCGGATGAACCTTCACTTGCCCAACGCCGCTTGAAATTATCTCTTCAATATGTAACTAACTTACGTTCCAACCCATCAAACCCAGCTTATAATTGCGTCTTTGATCCACTTAATGAAGACCTGTTTCAAAACAAGCCCAAACTTATACCACCACTTGGGGTTTGGATCAAACCTCATATTGCAGCTACTACTATTGATTTAGACATCATATCTCCATATGCACTTCTGTCTACTCCTCCTTGGCAATTAGTCAGGCCTGAAGTAGACCTTCCTCTCACTAAGTTTAAAAAATCTGACACAAATCAACTAATTTATCTACAAGAATACAACCAGTTACGATCCTCATACAATACGTACAAATCTATATTTACAGATGGATCCAAGGATAGTGGCGCCGTTGCCAGCGCCACTGTCATTGGATCCAGGACTATATCAAACCGAATACCAGATAACTGTTCCATTTTTACGGCCGAGGCTAAGGCCATATTAACAGCATTGGAATATATAAATAACCAATCAAAACATAAACAATTTATTATATTTTCCGATTCACTTTCTTGCCTTCAAGCTATTAAAAATTTATCTTGTACACATCCACTTTTAATCACAATTGTTGAATTGTTTAATGATCTTGCTACTGGCCAATACGACATCGTTTTTTGCTGGTTACCGAGCCATGTTGGTATTATTGGTAACTCAATGGCTGATTCTGCAGCTGAAGCAGCACTCAACAAATCTGAGACACCACTTCTGATTCCATACAGCGATTATAAGCCAGTTATCAGATGTTATATCAGTGATCTCATGAAAAAGAAGTGGGACACCCAAGCAGGTGTTAATAAATTGCATGAAATTAAACCAACTATTGGCTACACCTACTTGGGTTGTCAGTCCAGATTTGAAGAGGTCATTTTGCGGCGATGTCGTATTGGCCACTCGAGATATACACATGAGTATCTTTTAAAAGGTGAAGATCCTCCGTTCTGTGTCCCTTGTGATGAAAGAATCACGGTCAAGCATGTCCTGCTTGACTGTATTGATTTTTCCATCACAAGGGATAAGTTTTTCAAAGTATCATCCATTAAGGATCTTTTTAATCAGATAAGTCCTCATTTTATACTTGCTTTTTTAAGAGAAATTGAATTGATTGATAAATTTTGATGACTATGTATTGTAAATAAATAAATAACTCTTACTATTGATAGTATGAATAATTCACTGAGATTGTAAGTGGCTATATCCTCGATGGGGGTTAAAGTAGTGTAAAATTATTGTTCCCCTGAGAGGATATGTAAGACCATTTCATTCAAAGTAATTTATCTATCCCTGTTTTTAAACGCAGAATATTTGTATATTTTAATTTTCGGCTACTCTCGTCAACATTCGCCAATGACTAAAGGAATGGTGTAAATCCTGCTGGGAAACCATGTAGGTAGCAAAGGTAATGTAAGTCCCCATGGTCCCTAGTATGGTGGCCTAACTTTAGTTGTTGGTGATTAATAGCCTGTTTTTACAATGTGTCGTCTGTCGTCATCCAATCATTTTATTGATCTAAAACTAGTTTTAAATTATAATCTGTGATATATTGCTAGTTGTTGTACTGTCCTTTGACGACAGTTTTTTATATATGCTATACCTTGTTCAAGTCACGATATGGCTGAAATATTGCCGATGTGACTTTAAATATTAACTCACTCACTCACTCTTCCAGTTATAGATCGACAGAGACAGATTTTTTAAAAGGACAACGTCAGGTCCCGGACAGCACGCATCACCAACCAGAATATCACAGTGCTTCCATGGCCGTCAAACTCCCTGGATGTAAAACCCATTAAGTGCCTATGGGACGATCTCCATCGAAGAGTCCGGCGACGTCAACCACGACCCCAGACCATGCAACAACTTCGGCGAACATTGCAGGAGGATTGGGCTAGAATACCCCAGGCTTGGATCAGGAGATGTATACTGACAATGCCCCGGAGAGGCTAACGGTGGTCACAACAGATACTGACGTCAATGTCTCCGTCTATAGTGCAGTGTCACAATTGTGGTGACATTGAGTTATGTCATTTGGTGCAGCTGACCATTGACTCATGTGATATTTGACATCTGTGTGATTCATTTTCGCTTTGTTATCTTCATTCATAATAAGTTTTCTGTTCTAAAATGTATCCCTGTGCGTTTCTTTTTTTTGAGAGTATATATAAAAAAATTCGATATCTATTGTGCCCTTGTTTCGATTTAGAAATCTTTTTTCACCAAGTCCCGGGGATAATTTGTGAGATCTTACAAACATTCTGCAGGAGTTACCCATAGTTTCTTTTTTGCCATGTAGAACTTGTTTTTGGTATTGTGAGCAAAAACGCTAACAAGGACCTCTGCTCGGCCATTTATGATCTTCTCGATAACATGCGAGCGATCAATATCACGCTCTAAAACCTTAACATCGAGACTGGTTTCACAAATGACAATGATCATTTGGTCGGTTTGAGCCTTATCACTGGTAACAGTATTATTCATGAACCGTAAAGTGAGTGAGTGAGTATATTGTTCAAGTTCTTCACATCTGACTACAGATTGTTCAAGTTTCGACACAGTGGTTTCTAAGTTCCCTTGAAGTTAATGAATCAAGTTTGTTTGAGCAGTAATAACTGAGCTTTGTTTTTCGATGTTGTCAATGAGAGCGGATGTGGCTGATTTTACAGCTCGTTCGGCACTCGTGAAGAGCAACCTCCCCGTGGTGAGTGCTGGATAACGCTAATAGCTCTTCCCCCTTGTGGACCCGGAGAAGAATGTGTCCACAGCACCCAATTGCTGGTCGTATAAGGCGACTAAATTGGGCAACCCGTTTGCCGTGTGTTGCGCCCCTGTGTCGGTGGAGGACGATATTCTGGTGGTTGAGGGCACTGGAGCCAGGAACAGTGTTCCTTTTGCCCAACACACCACTTTGACCATTACTTCACCTAGACGAGTGATAGAATGGGCCTGATTCTATCAATCGGCAGGTCACGCCATGCCCTGAGCATGGAAACCATTCATGTGTAACTTATTTTTACTTTTTTCACAATTTATGAATGTTCATGGAACCTATGTTATATGAATTGCCTATGCCAGAAGGCGGTGGCTCATGGGCCAATCTGGTGATATAGACTTCTGAAATCTGTGGTTCTTGAGAATGTTGTTATGGGCCGAACCAGCCTGACATCTATTCTTTTGGTTTTCATAGCTTTTCATGTCTTTATTTCTAGAGTTTAACATCCCTGCAGCCCTGGTGTTGCAGGCTGGCTTCTGCTGCAACATCGTTCATGTTGACACTCGATGGCGGATTGGGAGCAGGGATGCTGAATCAATATTATTTCCATCCCTTAACAAGTCTTCTGGTTCGTCAAAGCCCAACAAACGTCGTCATGTTGATCTTACATGTACATCATCTGATGAAGATATCTATCCTGAAGCTTCAAATTCCTGGCCAAGGTTTATAGTAATAGATTCTGTTGACGGTTTACCGTTAAGGTTAAATCCCTTTGCCATATCCAAGGGCATACACAGTGCTTGCAGAGATGTAAAAAATGTCACCCGTGTTCGGTCTTGTTCCATTCTTGTGGGCACTCGTGAAGAGCAACCTCCTCGTGGTGAGTGCTGGGTAACGCTAATCGCTCTTCCCCCGTGTGGAACCGGGGCAGAATAATTCCACAGCACCCCATTGCTGGTCGTAAGAGGCGACCAAAGTGGGCAGCCCGTTTGCCGTGGGTTGCGTCCCTGTGTCGGCGGAGGACGGGAGTCTGGTAGTTGAGGGCACTGGTTCCTGGAACTGTGTTCCTTTGCCCAACACACTACTTCGACCCTTACTTCGCCTAGACGGGTGGTAAGATGGGCCCGGTCTTATCAATCGGCTGGTCATGCCAGGCCCTGTGCGTAATATTGTATATGCACACATGTGTTGTATTTTGATGTATATTTTGGCCTTGGCCATGCATAATTTGTGTGAATTAACTATTTTATCTGGTGATGTTGACCTCCAAATTCAGTATGTATCCGATTACTTGTCATGGGCCGAACCAGCCTGGCATTTAATTTGGGTCTACAAATATTGCTATTTGCGTCATACTTGCTGGAGTATATCATCCCTGTATCCCTGGTGTTTGCATGTTGGAGTTCCGGTGCAACAAAACATCGCTCTTTGTAGCACTCCTTGGTGGGTGGGGAGCAGGGGTGCTGAATTACTATATTTCACCATGTCACACCAAAACCCTGGTTCAACCCGTTCCAAACGAAGACATGTCGATCTTGATGACATTGATCAAAGTGAACAATTATCTCGTGGCTTAGATTCCTGGTCCCGTTTTATTGTGATTGAGGCAGCTAACAAACAACCTATTAAGCTAAATCCATTCGCCATTTCCAAAGCTGTTTTAGGAATTTGCGGAGAAGTGAACAATGTTACACGTCTTCGCAGTGGCTCTCTTCTCGTTGAGTGTTCACGGAGACAGCAATCTCTGAATCTTTTGTCTGTAACTACATTCGCAAATATTGAGGTTGCTGTGTCCGTCCACAAAACCTTGAATTCTTGCCGAGGCATTGTTCGAGACAGAGCTCGCTGCCTGTCCGACATGTCAGAGCAGGAAATTACTGATGAACTGACAACTCAAGGGGTAACAGCAGTTAAGCGTTTTACTATGAAATCGAGAGACGGTGACACCATTCCCTCAAACACTTATCTGCTTACATTTGCTCTTTCGGCCCTTCCTAAGTCAATCAAAGCTGGTTATCTCAACATCGGAGTGGAGGTGTATGTCCCCAATCCACTCCGTTGTTTCAAGTGCCAAAAGTTTGGACATGGTTCTAAATTTTGCAATCACTCTGTAGTCTGTCAGCGCTGTGGCGAAGGCCATGACAACACTGACTGAAAAGAAAAAAATTAAACAGAAAACAAACTACTATGAAATCCTCGTCTTCAGAGGTTTTTCTCAACAACCCCTTTGATGCTCTTGACATGGATGTCACCCCATCTCCAGAGACCAGAAGGGGTTCTTCTTCCTCACATTCTCGTGAGCGTTCACCAATTGAGCCACCGTGACTCAATCATCACATTTAATACAGTGGAACTGTAGAGGACTTAGGAATAATTATAACGATTTACAACTCTTAATTCAAGATTTTAAACCATCAGCGTTATGTTTACAAGAAACATATTACAAAGAAACTGACACATTTGATATACGAGGTTATTCCTCCTACAATGTATTTTCACCTCCTGGTGCTAAGGCCACTGGGGGCTCTTCAATCTTCATAAAACAAGGTGTTATCCATAGCCCCGTCCATCTTGCAACCCCACTTCAAGCTGTTGCAGTCCGTGTGACTCTGCACATTGTGTTTACATTGTGCTCACTCTATATTCCACCATCGTCTTCTCTCCGACAGTCTGAACTTCAAGCTCTCTATGATCAACTCCCAAAGCCCTGTATTATCATGGGCGATTTAAATGGACACAATCCACTTTGGGGTAGTGTTCAGACTAATAACAAGGGAAAACTTTTGGAAGATTTCATTTCCAGCAACGATTTGTGTATCCATAATGATGGTTCAAATACGTATCTGCATCCCGGTACAGGTACCTACTCTGCTCTCGATTTGTCAGTAACAGATTCTGAATTATTAAACGAATTTGATTGGTCCGTCCAAGAAGACCTCTGTGGAAGTGATCATTTCCCAACCATTTTAAAACCCGTCTTACCTTCCGATGTTCCTCCTTCAACAAGATGGAACTTTACTAAGGCTAACTGGCCTTTATTCGAAATACTTGCATCCAAAAAGTTACAACCTGATCTGTTTCTTGATGCTACTGACCCTGTACAATTATTTTCTGATGAATTAAACAAAATCGCTGATGACTGTATTCCTAAGTCCTCTACAAATCCTCACATTCGTAAACCATGGTTTAACGATGACTGCAAACAAGCTAGGAAGGCACGGAAAAAGGCTGAACACTACTTCCGTCGCCATCCAATGGTACATAATTTGAATAAATTTTAAATTTTAAATGCTAAAGCCAGACGTACGTTTAAACAAAATAAACGCCAATCTTGGCAAAATTATGTTTCCAAGATAAATTCTCGTACGCCCATGTCTAAGGTATGGAACATGATCCAGAAAATTAAAGGTAAAGGTTCTAAATCTAGCATACATCACCTTAAAAATGGAGACGAACTATTGACTGATAAATCGGAAATTGCAAATAAACTTGGTGAAACATTAGCAAAACATTCTTCTTCCTCTAACTATGTGCCTAAATTCCAAAAATACCAAAAACTGCAAGAAACGAAAATCATAAATTTTAACTCAGATAATGGGGAAGATTATAACGAAATATTTTCAATCCATGAGCTTCATACTGCTCTTGGACAAGCACACGATACTGCTACAGGAGCTGATAATATACATTATCAACTCCTGAAACATTTACCAGACTCATGTTTAGAAACCCTTCTACTAAGTTTTGATGAAATCTGGACATCAGGTGAATTTCCATCCTCATGGCGAGATGCTATAATTGTTCCATTACCTAAGCCAGGACGTGATCATACTGATCCTTCAAATTATCGTCCAATTTCATTGACCAGCTGCGTTTGCAAAACCATGGAACGCATGATCAATAATCGCCTAGTTTGGTACTTAGAAACCAATAACCTAATTACAAATATTCAATGTGGTTTCCATAAAAATAGAAGTACAATTGATCATTTAGTACGTTTAGAATCATTTGTCAAAAATGCCATCATAAACAAACAACATGCAGTGTCTATCTTTTTCGATCTCGAAAAAGCATATGACACTACATGGAAACATGGTATTTTAAAGGACTTACACGATTTTGGATTGAGAGGCCGTTTGCCTCAATTTATATCCAAATTTTTAACTGACAGACAATTTCAAGTCCGCGTGGGCTCAACCCTGTCTGATCATTATAATCAGGATCAGGGTGTCCCACAAGGCAGTATCTTGTCTGTTACACTATTTAGTATTAAGATAAATAGCCTGTCTAAGGTCTTAAATGATTCCATAGATGGGTCGCTTTTCGTGGATGATTTTAACATATCTTGTCGTGGTAAAAATATGCATTCAATTGAAAGACAATTGCAGTTATGTCTTAATAAAATTCAAAGATGGTCACTTGAAAATGGCTTTAAATTTTCTAAAGCCAAGACAAATTGTATACATTTTTGTCGCAAATATACACCACATCCAGACCCTGTACTGTATTTGGATGGCACACCTATCAAAATTGTAAAGGAAGCCAAATTCCTGGGACTTATTTTTGATAGCCATTTGACATTTAAAAGCCATATCAAATACCTTAAAGCTAAATGCCTGAAGGCACTCAATGTGTTAAAAGTCGTTTCCAATTCAAAGTGGGGAGGTGATCAGAAGACCCTGCTCCAACTATATAGATCTCTCATACGTTCTAAACTGGATTATGGCTCCATCGTTTATGGGGGTGCTTGCAAAAGCAATCTAAAAATTCTGGATTCTATACATCACCAAGGACTACGGCTCTGCCTTGGCTCCTTCAGAACTTCTCCAATTAACAGTTTATATGTAGAGGCTGATGAACCATCACTAAAACTCAGACGTCTAAAATTATCTTTACAGTATATTACCAAATTATCTTCAAATCAGTCAAACCCTGCATATGATTGCGTTTTTCACCCCCTATATGAAGACCTCTACCCAAAGAAATCTTCTCTTATTCCCCCTCTTGGAATAAGGTTGAAAACTGCAATTTCTGATGCAAATTTACACCTTGAAAATATTTCTCCTTACCGCCTTCTGTCTTCACCTCCTTGGCAACTTATAAAGCCCGAAGTAGACCTGACACTCACACAACTAAAGAAATCACAAACTAATCCCCTAATTTATCAACAAGAATACCATCAACTGAGAACTAAATATGATACATACAAATCTATTTTTACAGATGGATCCAAGGATGGTGACGCAGTTGCTAGCGCTACTGTCATTGGAACCAGAACAATATCGTCCAGGTTGCCACATGACAGTTCAATTTTCACGGCAGAAGCACACGCCATCTTAACAGCTCTTAAATACATTCAAAATCAATCTAAGCATAAGAAGTTCATAATATTTTCAGACTCTCTTTCATGTCTTCAGGCTATTCACAATATGTCCAGTACACATTCACTTTTGCTCGAAATTGTCGAATTATACAATGATCTAGCTACTGGCCAATACGACATCGTTTTCTGTTGGTTACCCAGCCATGTAGGAATCGTTGGTAACACAATGGCTGATGCTGCTGCAAAAGCAGCACTCAACAAATCTGTGACACCACTTTTAATCCCCTACAGTGATATTAAACCCTTGATTAGATCATACATCAGAGATCTAATGCAAAAGAAGTGGGACACCCAAGTAGGTATTAATAAATTACATGAAATTAAACCAAACATTGGTTACACCTACTTGGGCTGTCAGTCCAGATTTGAAGAGGTCATTTTGCGACGATGTCGTATTGGCCATTCGAGATATACCCACGAGTATTTGTTAAAAGGTGAGGATCCTCCGTTTTGTATCCCTTGTGATGAAAGAATCACGGTCAAGCATGTCCTGCTTGACTGTATTGATTTTTCCATCACAAGGGATCAATATTTCAAAGCATCATCTATTAAGGATATTTTTACTAGTATCAACTCTCGTTTAATTATAGATTTTTTAAAACATATTGAATTGTTTGCAAAATTTTGATTCATAATATTGTATAAAAACTATGTTTTAAACTTGGTAGAATGAATTCACAACTGTGATTGTAAGTGGCTGTATCCTCGAAGGGGGTTAAAGCACAGTAAAATTATTGTCCCCCGGAGAGGATACATAAGTTCCATTTCTTTCATAGTAAATGTATAGCTATCACATTTTAATCGTAGCATATTTGTTCGTTTTAATTGGTGGTTAATATCGACTACAATCGCCAGCGACTGAAGGGATGGTGTAAATCCGGCTGGGGTGCCGTGCAGGTAGCAAAAGCATCGTAAGTCCCCTCGGTCCCTAGTGTGGTGGCCGAACTTTGGATGCTGGCGATCTATAACCCGTTTTTATATTGTGTTGTTGACTTGTACCATTGTTCTTTTATATACTCTCAAACTAGTTTTAACTAAAATCTGTGATACTCTAGTTATTGTACTGTCCTTTGCTGACAGGTTTTTTATAAATTATATATACTTATTTGTTATTAATGTATTAATTCTCGTCACGATATGGCTGAAATATTGCCGATGTGACGTTAAATATTAACTCACTCACACTCACTCCATTCTTGTGGAATGTACAGGGAGGCAACAATCTATCAACCTGCTGGGTCTCCAGCAGTTTGTCAATACCCAGGTTGTTGTCTCTGAGCACAGGACACTGAATTCAAGTAGAGGGATTGTACGGGACCGAGCTCATTGTCTGACGGACATGAGTGAGGAGGAAATTGTTACCGAACTGGAAAATCAAGGTGTTACCACGGTAAAAAGATTTACTAAAAAGTATGATGATGGAACCATAAGTAAGACAAATACCTATCTCTTCACCTTTTCTCAGGAAACAGTCCCAAAGTCTTTAAAAGCTGGCTATTTCAACATCGGAGTGGAGGTTTACATACTAAACCCACTCCGATGTTTCAAATGTCAAAAATTTGGCCATGGTGCCAAATTCTGCCGTACCAAGACTAAGGCTGCAAACGGTTCACCAATACTTCGATTTGGTTCGATGCTTGATTATTTCCATTCAATTCGATTATTTTCGATTCGATTCATTAGATGATATACAATGATTCAGGTATACTAATATGCATAAATAAGTAACAAAACGTGTATTTACGTTACTTTTTTATTGAACAGTGCAACATTGCACCAACAGGACAAACTCATCACCTAAGATTGTGAGGTCAATCAGGTCTTCAGGGATGATCATGTTTTAGGATAAAAACACAATGTTGCTTGCATTGTCTGTAGTGATAGCAGGACCACACCCATTTCTAGTAAGGTCCCACTCGGAAATGGTCACTGAGAGACTTGC